GAAACTGGGGCCAGAGCAATTAGGAGATGCCTCACACTTCATCTCCTGCCAGCTGCCACAGCTGTCATTCAGGAAGTGTGTCTAGTCCTTGCTCTCATCTTCCCCTTCCCATCTGTGCAGGTCCTGACCCCTAGGGCAGACTCCCAGCCTCCTCGTGCCCCAGACATAGATACCCATTTCCCAGAGTCGGAAGCTGAGGCCCAAAGGGGATCAGGGACAGGGATCTCTCTAGTGTTTTCAAGCTCCCCTCACACTGCCCCAGTCAGTTCTCCCGGCCCAACTCAGGCCTCCTTCTCTTGGAATTCCTAGGCCACATCCCAAATAGGAGCTGAATATCCGTGGGTAGAGCCTATGAACTTGAGTGTGTGCAAACCTGGAGGCCCATGTGTCTCCTGTGGGCCCAATTTTGACAATCATAAACATCAAACCCTGCCCTCAGGGCTGGAAGCATCTCTGCTTCTGTGGCCAGATCTCTCTCTGCCTTCCAAGTCCCTGCAGAATAGCCCAGAAGGAGCCCAGGGGAGATGGGCAGCTGCAGTTAAGGGAGAAGGGAAAGAAGAGGTTCAAAAGGTCCATCTCAACCTCTGTGTGTGGCTGGAACAACTCATCAGATCCCTACAGCCAACCCCATTCTACAGGGGAAGAAACTAGGCCAGGAGAGGGGCCACACTCAGGCACAGAGTTGGTAACAGCAGAGTGGGGCTGTGGCCCAGCAACACCACACTTCAGGTCCAGTGCTCTTTGTCCATCCCTATGTTCCCTGCTCAGTCATGTCTATCCTATCACCTGTGTGAGCCAGGTGTCTGAGGCCTCCAAGGGGGTGACCAGAGCAGGGATCAGAATGGACAGGGACCTCTGGGTTCCAGCCCAAATCCCCTCCCAGCTGGTCTAGGCCCTTAAATATATAAATTTCATTATTCATCAAATGACTGCTTGAGTTTGCCTGGACGATGAATATTTTATTCACCTCCAGACACCAGCCCCAGTAGGTTCATGAAGAATATTGTTCCCCAGCCAAGGAGCAGAGGTTAGAGCTACTGTCTTCCCTGGACACCGCCTCCCAGCCTCTCAGCACCTTCCCCCACAGGCCTTCCAGCTCTGGCAGTGCTGCGGTCAGTGGTCCAGCATGACCTTGAGCTTTGCATTCATTTTCCTTCTCCTTGATTTCCTCCTCTGAGCAAGGTTCCCACTTGTTGATGTGCCAAACTGCTCTCTCCACCTCACCCCCAACCCCCTCCAGTGGCACAATAGTTGGGGGAGCTATCCCTGGTGCTGAAAATGGCAGCAAGAGGATGCTGGCTTTGGGAGGCAAGGCTTCAAGGTCTCCATCCAGAAAGGGAGGATGTCTATACTATCTAAGGAAAGTAGGGGTCCAGCCTCTGGACAGAGAGGTCCCCACTTTTCCTTCTGTCCTGACACTTGATGGATCCTCTTAGAGTTACATGCAGTGTAGGTCACCTTTCCCAGTGTCTCTAACCCCTGTGCCAAGGACTAGGGGTGAGATCTGGGGAGATCCCTCAGGCGAGACCCCGAGGCCACAAGTCTCTCATTGGGCACCCCAGGGAGTGCAGTATGATGGTAGCAGCACCTTCCTAAGATGGGGGAGCGACAGACATAATTCACACCCTGCTACCACGCCATCTGCTCTACCATGACGTACAGAGAAGATGGGCTGCATTGCTTGAGGCGGGGGTTTGTTTGTTCATTCATGCGGTATATATTCATCCAGGTCCTGCTACTTCTATGCCCAGCCCTGTGCCAAGCATCAGAGGATTTGAGATCACAGACCTAGACCTTGTCCTCCTGAGCTGACAGCAGTCCTCTCACACCACACATCTCTTGAAGCATCTGGTTCATAAGAATTGCTATCAAGTTCTAAGCCCTCGCTGAGCTCTGAGCACTTTACATGCACAATCTCGCCATTCACTCTGGGGTTGGTGTGTTACTATTTGACAGGTGGATAAACTAAGGCTAAGTGAGGTGAACTAAGATACCAAGGTCACATGGCAAGCTCTGGGTTTTCTAAGCAGTTCTTACTCCCCACCCCATGGAGAAATCCAGAGACTTTTCAAGTCCTGCTGCAATGTCCTTCCTCTGAAAAACGACCCCTTCCCAGGCCCTCCAGGCAGAGTGAGATATATTGCCCACTCTGTGACTCTTGTTCTGAGAGCACCAGGTGTGAGCAGCGACCTTTCTCTCTGCCTCCCAGCCTGGCTCACAGCACCTGGCACCCAGGCGCTGTCCAGTGGACCACGCAGCTCAGCGGTGGAGGGCTGAGGAGGAGGAGCAGAGCGTTGGGGTCCACGCAGCTTCAGAAGCAGCATTTCCTGCAGAACCTGTAAGGGCAAGGAGAGCGCGGCTCCCCTCCCCCTACAGGCTCCAATCCCAGCTCTGCCTTCTACAGCTGCATGACCCAGCCTTGTCCCTTCTCCCTGAGCTGGGTGTCTTCCTCTATGAAGCCAGGAGTAGTACAACCCTCAAAGGTGCAGGGGGCATATGGAAATGTAGTGCCAACAGGCAGTGCAGTGAGCCTTAGCTTTACACCAGGGAGGCCAGGGACTGGCCTGAGTCCCAAGGGGACCAGGATGACAGGAACAGTACCATGACCTTGACACTGTAACCTCCAGGTGGACCCTGGCCCCAGAGATCCCTCTGGGTCTAGGGAGCCTGCCTTAAGGAACACCCTAGTCACTAGGTGGAAGACTGTCCCTTGGTCACTGATGGAGGCCAAGGTCCTGCCTGGGTCGGCCTAAAGTCCATGACTGCATGGACACCACACTTTGCTTCATATTCACAGGGTCACCCCTTCATTTTTGCTTATTTATCTCAGGGGCTGTTTCTGCTCATTCCTCTGAAAATTCCCTGTGTGGGCTGGCGACAAGGCCAGAGCTGCAGGGGACACTGCAGGAGCTGTGCCCCTCTGCCACGAGGAGTGTATGGGAGCTGGGTTTCTTGCCAGTCCCTCAGCAGACTCCCACTCAGCCTCCTCATCTGGGGTCCTTATTTAGAGTCAGGCTGGCCTGGCTCTAGCAACCAGGACTCAGCTCTCAATCAATACTCAACAGCCATAATTAATCATTATTATTATTATTATTATTATTATTAATTCATATTCCCTGGGGGATTGCATGCTAATAGGAAACTCCGAAGAGATGCGAGGAGTTGCTGGTACTTTTCATACATTCCAGTACCTCATCCTCACCACTGCCCCAGTTACAGACAGGGAAAATCCAGGCACCCTGGGAGCCTAAGGTGTTGACAGATTCAGAAGCCCGAGGAAAATGCGACGGAGCTCGGAGCATTCAGTGCTACTGAGGGAATGGCAGACAAGAAGGGACATTTGAATTAAGGACTTCTCTGGGGCCTTTTCACTCTCTCAGGCTTGGGTCTTCATGGGCACCCTACTGACCACGTAGAAACCTGGGAGACAGACAGCTGGGATTCTTCCTAGAGTCCCCTCCAGGGCAGTACTCAGTAAGTGCTGGGGTCAGGCCCAGCTCAAACTGGCCAGGCTGCCATCTCTTGCTGAGCCCCATCCCCAGGCCCCCAAGAAAGAGCTGAGATTAATCAGCGACAAAAGCAGAAACAAGCAGAAAAATGTAATCAACTCCGGAAGGGGCAGGGCCTGGCAGGACTGAGGCAATCAGTTTTCCCCCTGGGGCCTTTGATTGATTGGACCAAACAGTGTAGAGAGGTGGTTTCCATAGGGGCTCTAGACAAATGCACTCACACCTGAGCACATGTGTCCACGACCCTCCCAGTCAGGGTCCTGGGCATCTGCGGGCTCCTCCCCTGCCAGCTCACAACCTTGGCACACACGAGTGTCTGCACACATTTCCAGCTCACGTCCATCTGCATGTGGACTCACAAACACATGTCCACACAGCTGATGGCACGCACTTTCTCATGGAGAACAGATAATGCACACATGCTACTCCCACGAACACCCCCTCCCCCCATGAGCACACTTGTTCCCAGGCCTGGGCCACCTTGTACACACGAGGTCTAACCTTCAGCTTATGACGGGACAGGCCTCCTCACCAGTCCCACGCAGCACAGCGGGTACTGCTTGCGTCTGCCCCGGGCCCACGGACAGAGACAGACCCTGGCTCCTCTGTAGCTGCGTAGTGGGGGCTGGGGGATCCAGGACTGGAGTTCCCCTGCTGGGGGGCAGGGCAGCGACTCAGCTGACCCAGAAAAGCTGAGTCCTAGTTATAGGGCAGAGGAGCTGGCCCCAGGCCGACCCCCCTACAGCCTGCCGCCCCTACTACATGACCTTGGTCAATGCCCTTTCTCTCAGCCTCAGTTTCCCAACCTAGGAGCCTTTCCTAGGCGCCACCCAGGACTGTGATTCTCTTCGGGCACCCGGACGCCTGGGGTCGACCTACCTCCCAACTCCTTGGGTCCTAGGTAGTGGGTGAACGGGCCCAGGGACAGAAAGGAAAGGCCCTACCCCCAGGCCACCCCCACGTTATCCGGGTGGCTGTAGACTTGGGGGCGCGCCATCTGCGGGAGCCCCGGCGGAAAGGGAGCCGGGGCCGGCGGCGGGCGGGGCGGGGAGCGAGGGGCGGGCGCGGGAGGCGGGAGCGCAGTCGGCGT